AATCTCGTTTGTGACAGCTACTCGGCTGAGAAATAGCTACAGACTTGGGTTGACTCATTGATTTCATTAAAAAGTTTTGGTAGCTAGATGTGTGGATAAATCGTTCTTCAGTGACTTTACCCCCGAGATGCAGGCATCCCTATGTGTATATACTGTTTGCTCTACAGGACTGGCTCATATCACAATTCACATGACCTCTGTGCTCTCATACGAATGTAAGTGACGTCTGTGCTTCTGGTTACATGTGTGTACAACACATCAGATCTTTTGCTTTACACACATGATATTATTTGTGATTAATTCTTGAACAAGTGTGACTAATGTTTTCAATTGACTGGTTTTTGATCAGATCATCAGCTTTGCAGCTAACATCAACCGTGTGTAGTACTTGTAGAAATTCCTTGAATTTTATGAGTCTCTAACCGTGTGTTTTTATCTTAATGTGCATCTACTCAGGGGGAGAAATACCCACTTCGTGCGTTGTGTTTGGTTCAGTTTATTTGTGCACTCTGATACTCTTGGATTTATCAATGTGTTTTGTTTCGGGTTTCTCATATTCTCAACTTTATAGGAGACTAACTGATAGATTGATATAGAGTGTTGTCCTGCATCTTGAGCTTTGTTGGAACAGGTTGAGTAGGTTGTCACATTCAGATAAAAAGGGGGAGAATGTAAGCTCAAGGTTTGTGAGCTTGTTCTGGTTAAGATGAGAGTGTGTTACACAGTGCGATGATTGTGTAACACAGTGCAATAAGTTTGGTACGTATAATGACGTGGCGTAAACTTATGGAAATAGAAGATATTGCTTGGGTGCGAAGCAAAGAAGATCTTCTGGTTGGCGATATTTTAGGAAATAGAATATTGTCTTTTTCATGCCTACTTAACGAGGCAACCTAAGAGAGTTTTTTGGTTAGGCGTTAAGAGAGAAAAAGCCAGAGCAAGAGAGTTGTTCTTGTCGGCTACAGAGATCGAGAAAACAGGGGTTTGGCTTGGGTTTCTGTAACTTAGAGATTAGGAACTGGTCCGTCGCTAGTCGTGTGTGACTGAGCTTAAATCGGATTAAACAGATCTAGGAAGATTGTTTAAAAGGTTTCTAATATACAAGAAGTGTTCTTGAATAACTTGTGTACGGTNCAGAGATCGAGAAAACAGGGGTTTGGCTTGGGTTTCTGTAACTTAGAGATTAGGAACTGGTCCGTCGCTAGTCGTGTGTGACTGAGCTTAAATCGGATTAAACAGATCTAGGAAGATTGTTTAAAAGGTTTCTAATATACAAGAAGTGTTCTTGAATAACTTGTGTACGGTTCTTATTTGCGTGTCTCTGAACTTTCAAAAGATGGCCTAAAGAGTTTCATAGGTAGTAAAGAAGGGTCGAGAGAAATAGATGAACGGAATGATGAATCGGAGGATGAATGTGGAAGCGATCAGCAGTAGAAGAGATGATCGAAGTTGAAGAACTGAATGGCGATATAGATAAGAGGAGATGATTAAGTTAACCATTGCTGTGTCCCTGAAGGAGAGGATCCTGTCTTTTATTTGTCTATCCAGCAGTGGAGTCAATGCGTCCAGAGAGCGATAGATGTTCCTATGCAGTCGGGCATTCCGTTCAGACCAAGTCCAAATAGAAAATACCTTTTGGTGACCGGCTGTATTCAGAGCTTGGAGTTGCGTCATCACTATCCCAAGATCCTTCTGGATTTAAGCCACACCGCAAAGCCAAAAAAAACCCATGCAGGTTCCCCAAGAATAAGGACAGTCTAAGAAGAGATTCTTACATGTCTCAGAAACAGTGTTGCAGAGCAAAGAAGCCAAGTAAGGAAGCTATGTATAGTGATACCTCCTTTGTTCCAGACAATCGAGTTGTCACCCAGTTGTAGGTACTGCCTTAGACTGCCAAAGGAAGACCAGTTGTCCGTCCAAAAAACGACAGGTGAGGCCATTTGAAACACGTTAGGTGGATCCAATTGTAGAGTAGGGGGACTGAGTTTTGAGCCACGATAATCCATAATAGTTAAGACCTTCGATATAACTTTACTTTGTTCCAAAACTATATTATGTTTATCTCTAGTTTTGAGTTTACATTAAACACAAAGCGATGTCATATTTGTTTGGTCTGTTTACTAATACGCCGATACAATGAAGATGAAAAAGATCAATAAAAATCCATGAGAAACTCATACACTGTTGTTCATTCATAGGCAATTACAGCCACAATGCTCGATATAACAAAGATAAAAGGTTACATGGTAGGAGTACTGTTACCTAACTACAGAGAGAAGAACATAAGGGGAAGGTGTTAAATATTATGCTGATAACTTGTTTAACCTCATTTATATTGGTTATAACCTCAAATATTAAATGAAATATTTTTCAAAATGACCTCGTATATTTGTAGAAATATTTGGAGATAATTTAAAGGACGGTAAGGAGAGAAAGTGAGTACGTACTGATCTCTCGTTAGAGTTTATGTTGAAGATGTATCTAATCCTTTTTTTATTAGCAGAATGTTTGCTGAACTTTTTGAGCCAATTCTTCTGCACTTAGTTGGCACTCAATTCCAATCTGTAACAAGAAAAACAGTTAGATGTATATATATGTATGTATATAAATCATTGTAAATCAGTATCATAACATTTAAGCTCAAATTGATTTAAACTTTCTCTCTTCCCTAATGTATACACTAACCAATAGCAAAACCAGTAATATCAGCATGAAATACAATATTCTTTAACGTTGACATAGTATATAATAACGAATGAATTTGTTAACCAACTATGGGTACAAAAAACAACTATGGGAACAAGTGTAATTTATATCTCTATAATATTATTTGAGAAGTCAGTTTCCTACGTGTCGCGCTCACATTAACTCTTGCGATGGTTGATTACATAGGTACCCTTAATGAATTCAAATATTACATTTAATGCAATTTCCTTCTTTTATTTGATAATTTCTGTTAATTAGATTTTAATTTAATTTCCTTTTTTTCCCTAATAACACATATAATAATAAGGAAAAAATAATCTAAAAAAACGAAAATTTAATAACATTATATAATTTGATTACATAAAAAGGAAAGTTAACAAACATAATCATTCTATTAATAAAATAAGAAAATAAAAACAGATTATTTTATATTAATATTTTATTATTTTTCTACATATAAGTTATAGATACCTCAAAGCATAATAAAATACAAATAAAATATTAAATAATTTTAACAATTTATCTCTTTTGTAAAATATATATGCATGAGATTTAAAATATAATGTTTATATTCATTTATGTAATCTTTAATCAACCCACATTTTAGTTTATTTCACCTATTGGATTCTCAAAAAAAATATTATGTTATACAAAATCTCACTAAAATATATTTACCTGAAATATAATATTAATATGATTTTTATATTAATCGCATTTAATTTATTTTCCTTTTTATTTGATAATTTCTTTTAATTAGATTTTAATTTAATTTCCTTATTGTTTTTTCCCAATAAGACATATAATAATAAGGAAAAATAATATATTTTTTTAAAAAACGAAAATTTAATAACATTATATAACTTGATTACATAAAAAGGAAAATTAACAAACATAATGCTATTAATAAAAATAAGAAAATAAAACAGATTATCTTATATTGATACTTTGTTATTTTTCTACATATAAATTATAGATACCTCAAAACATAATAAAATAAAAATAAAATATTAAATAATTTTAACAATTTATCTCTTTTGTAAAATATATATGCATGAGATTCAAAATATAATGTTTATATTGTTTTATGTAATCTTTAATCAATCCACATTTTAGTTTATTTCATCTATTGTAATCTCAAAAAAAAAATATTATGTTATACAAAATCTCACTAAAATATATTTAAGCGAACAGTCAACCCAAAGTAAAATAAATAAAAAAACCAAAATGTTAATTTATTTTGACAAAAAAGATATTAGGGTTGAAAGTAGATGAAATATAATATACTCAAGTATAAATAAACTAGATATATTAAATATTATATATATATATATATATATATATATTTAATATAATTTAAAAATATTACAGTTGAATTCAGAGATGTAATCCAATTTATCCAAATGATAACTAAATCAACCGTAAAAACAACAAAATCGACTAGATATAACATATATAATATTACTAAATAATTAAAGTAATATAATATTATTAATATAAATGATGCCTACAAATTATAAATTATTTTAAAATTAAAAATAAATAGTAATCAATTATTATTATATATTTACTTTAAAAGTATTCATACCCGTGCATGAGCACGGGAAAATCACCTAGTTTTAGAAATAAAAATCAAACATATATTACTAGACTGTAAGTAAAAATATACTATAAAACAAAGAACGGTCATTGTATGCTTGTGACTTGTGAGAAATCTGACAAACCCGGCCGTATGTGTTGTGTGCATTTATGTATATACACAATGTGGGTAAGAATTATCTTACACTGTTTTTCTTATATCTCTATAAACTGTGTATGAATTTATGTGTGACTGAATGAATTTATTATCAACAGTACCCTACCATTTCACCCCCACTATATATTAGACTCATTACCGAAAGAACAACAAAATCAGTGAAACTTGGTTAGGATGATTATTTGTACGTACCTTGATGGTGAAAGAGTTAAGCATGGTTCCTTCGACGGTGTTAATGTTAACCTGGAGAATCTCGAGAGCCAAATCCTCCAGAGTAGCGATTATCTTCATAACCTGTCCTGGTATCTTAAGCGACACCGTTTTGAGCAGCACATTAGCTCCTGAGAACTTCACTTCCACGTCAGCTAAAGCTGACTTTGAGTTAGCAACAAGCTCATTTATCAAACTACTCTCATGGTTACTACTAACTGAAGGAGAGGAAGAAGATGAAGCTGGGGAGTATGGAGTTGGGTCCCCTAAGCTGCTGCAACTGACTAGTGAGCTGTAAGAACGAGGAGGCTGTGGAATGAGTGGTAGTTGGGGAGGATGGACACCGTATGGGCTTGTGGGCAGAGGGGTTCGAGGGCTTATGGGTGGAAGAAGGAGATGATGGTGGATGATACGAGGGCTAAGAGGCGGTTTACGTGGGCTAAGAACAGGCGGTGAAGGACGAGGGCTTGGAACTAGTCTCGGGCTTAGGACTTCCGCGTAGGTCTTACGTTGTTTCTTTGCTTCTAAAGAATGAAGAACTTGCTGTAGCTCGCTTATGTATTCCACAACTCCACCTATAATCGATGCTTGGTCCCCCTTTATTATGATCCAAGGCAAAGACAATATAATGTCAATATGAACATTTTCTCACATTGCAACATGATTAAATACAATAAACGGAGATGATTAGTAGGATCAAATGTCATAAAATTTGCAATCCTTCCAAAAAAAAACATAGATAAGATGCATTTGTCTTAATGGGTGTTTCTAAGACATTATATGAGGTATAGTTAGGTATACCAAAAAGATTGAATGGCAAAACGTTTTATAATAATAATTAGTTAGTCGATACGGCAACTTATATAGCAAAGTACTGACTAAGAAAATATTTGGATGTATTGAATATAATACCCGTTTGACGTAGAAACAAGGCATAAGAGAACGTAAAACGGTTAAATGCTCGTTCATTTGCTTTCTCCTATTACGTTCCACGTTTACATGAGACATCTTTTGTTGCCCATCTTGCTTACACTCTTCTTCTTCTCCTTCTCCTTCTCCTTCTCCTTTTCCATCGTCCTCCTCTTCTTCGTTCTCAGTTTCTAGTCTTTTCCTCTTCGTTTTAAGAGATGAAGTTTCATAGTTTTGATCCTTTACTAAGTCTTTGGAACTTGTGGTTCCATCTTTAGGTGTAGATGCAGTCGTGGGAGATATCTCTCCGGCACCTTCAAGACTCTCTAAGATAGCAAATAGATCATCTCCGGCTAGTGAAGTGTCCACAAATTCACACTCTTCAAGAAAACCCGGTATTGTCTCCAGCATAGTGACTAGAAATATCTCCTTCTCTCTCTATCTCGTCCTCCTTAAACTACAAAAGAAAAAGTAAATTAAAGATTTAGAGAAAGAAAGAAAGAGACGCGGAGAGACATAACAAGATGAGAGAGAGAGAAATATAAAGATTGGATGCCAAAAGGAGTAAATATGAGAAATTCGCATTCATCGAGGACTAAACCATAGCTATCTTAGCAAAAAAACCATAGCTATCCCAATTGCGATATTTATTATTATATTTTAATAGGCCTATTTATTATGCGGGTTGTGCCGTTGGATGAAGTATGGAGAGAATCTAGGTTTTTTGGTGTGTGCCATCTATGTTTTAGATATAAATATACATTAATATTGGGTACATTTTATTGTATACTGATGCATTGTTTATTAACCTTTTCGACTCTTATTTATTTTGATCATTTAGATGTATTTAGAGCTTCATTACAGTGTATAGCATATAGATTTGTCCATATCATATGTCGGAACTACTTTTTGGAGAAATTAGAAGCAATTGGAGAGGCTAAATGAGTGAAGACTGGGGCATAGACAATTTCTTGGTAAGAGTCATAGTGATCATGGCGTAGAATCCAGTGGTGGTCATTAGAGAAAATACCGGGATTGTATAGCGACCTAGAGTGATCGCTACGAGAAAAAAGCTTGAAAATTGTTAAGTGACGACTTTTATAACGACCTGGAGTGGTTGGTACGAAAGCGAGAAAAAAAAATTGAAAATTGTTAAGTGATGACTTTCATAACGACCTGGAGTGGTTGGTACAAAAAGAAAACCTGAAAACTGCTAAGTGACCAAACGTAGTGACTTCAACATGTCGCTAGGATAAATGTCGGGAGTTCGTGACGACCACCATAGCGACCAGAGCAGGTCGTTAGGAATCATATGAAGCAGAAATCAACTAAGGGTTCTAGCAACCATATGAGGTTGTTACAGACAAAATGATTCACATTTATATATATGGCTTAACCCAGCTCGAGTTTTAGCCTACTATAAATATATTTTAGACCTAAATTTGTATCTTATCTTATTTTCTCTCTATAACACTTGATTTGTTGGTGAAAGATCCATCTTTTAGTCTATTTTCATCTTCATTTCTTGTGTTTACTGAGTTATATTGATTTCTATGTAATCATGATTAGTCTTGAACCTTCTATGGTTTTAAGGTTTATCATGTTGATTAGTGAGTAAACTTCTTTTGAGTTCATGGGCTACTTGGTAAATTATGGTGATTGATTAATGATTTTGGCTGTTTAATGTTGGATCCTTTGTGTTATAAGTTTATCTTGTGTTCTTAATGCTAGTTTAGGATTGCTCTCTCTATTCTAGATCTTCAACATTTTATGCATTGAAAATATTTGATGAAATGCTTGAACCAAATAGACATTGCTTGTTTAACCATGTAATTGATGTTGGAGAGGTTATAAATATATTAAACTTGTTATTCATGCACACTTACTTGCATTAGACCAAAAAACTTTATTTGGATTAGTACCATGGGATGGATTAATCTTTTAATTGTGTTAAACTTGTAGAACTTGTTTGATAGTTTGCATGAACAATCTGTATTGGATCTTAATCACCCAACGTCATTGTCCTTATCCATAGTTTTTCTAGAATTGATTGAAAACTTGAGTTAGTTATGAATTACTTTAAATTACATTTTGCATTTGCTTCAACTTAATTCTACTTTGATTGCTTAAATTAAGTTAATGATTTACATTTTGATCGCTTGAACTATTTGAGGATTAGAATATCACCTTAAATATTTTAAAGTTTATTTGTGAAATAACCAAAAAGGGAAATTAATTTTTATAGAAAAAGGTATAAAGAGAAAGGAATAGGAAGAAAATTATGTAATTTTAGTTAGTTAGTGAACTATGGACTTTTATTTTATCGATTCTTAGGATTAAACTTATTTCTTATCGTGTTCAGAAAAAAAAACTTATTCTTTATCATATAATTTATATTATAAAGATAAATGTCGCATATATGTAAATAGAAATATACATAAATTCCTCATACTTTTTATGGATTTTTGGGGAAAAGTTTTCAATTAATCACGAGATCGGTATAATTGTTTTTTTCTTATTTTGATCCACACAAATAATTAAGGCACACAAACACGGACATGTACGTTCTTTTGTATTTAATTTACGTGTATATATGGGTTGCGAATGGTCCGACCATTCCCTGTTTTCGATTGACATATACAAGGAGGAAAGAAAAAAGTTATTTGAAATTACTAAATCCACATTTATTTTAGCGCCCTCGCTCGTGAGACAATCAATTGAATGACATGTTGTACATTCGCATTATGGATCAATTATTCACAAAAGCTGACTTATAGAAAGTCATGCACTACAATAATTCCACTTAGCACTCAGCAGTCAGCAGATACTTGGCCTTCACTAATTTTAGACATGGTAACATTAATAAATTTCGTCATCAAACTGACTTTTGACAAATACTCTCCTATCATTTTAATTTTATGCACAATCATTAAGAAAACAATTATATCTCAACTAGTAAAAAAAAATAAACCGCATAATAAAACTAGTGAATTTAGCATTAAAAATTAAAAACGACACTTATTTTGTAATCAAAATATTTTTATATTGTGACACTTAATATGAAACGGAAAGAATACTTTTTACAGGTTTGGTGTTTGCGCATACACCCTTTTAATTCATATTCGTTTTCTCTACCCTTTACACTCAAACTTTTTATTTTAAAAATTTTACTCAATTTCTACACTTTAAATTATGTTTATATTTCTCTATTTTTCTTTCTTTTGTTTATTTTCTGAAACTTTTTTTTTTGAATTTGTTTGTTCTGAAACTGGCTTCGTCTTTGTTTCATCTTTTCAGTTCACTTGTTACTATACGCTCTCGGATTATTAGTTTGGTTTTGTCTTCTTTTCTATTTTCAACACTTGAAAATCCCAGTCGGGTTGAGCTATGTTTGTTTCTCCAAAACAAATCCCAATCAGTTTATATAAAAGGTTGTTCGGTTCCAAAACCAATTCACTTTCTTGTAAAACCCAACCAAAATAAAAATCTGAATTTAAGATATTATATAAATAAAAATAAGATTTTAAATACAATATGTATAAATATATATATATATATATATATATATATATATACCTCTTTTTTAAGTTCATCGTTAAGTTGATACAAGAAGAACACTAATTCTTTTAAAGAAAATAAAGGACAAGGAATAGATCTAAGGCAGTCATTACTTGATGTCATACTTGTCGTGCCTCAATTTGTCTCTTCAAAATCAAAATTGATTCTTGAGGAGCCACCCTTCCTCTGAACTTTCCCTTTCAAAAATTTTGAAATATTTTGTACATGAATGTATGTAAATTTCCGTATATCTCAGTTATAATAAACCAATTAAATGTTTGAGAAAGTAACAAAAAATTTAAGAAGATGGAGCCAAAGACAAACCAGGTAGACGTTAGGTTTGAAGTAAATGTGTTGGCTGCCAGATATTGTATACCTGACAATGTCTTTTTAGTAAAGGGTCGATCTCTTCTCCTTAATTATGGTTTGTTTTCTAGCTCCAATTTATAGAGATCAAGATATAAAAAAGCAGAGTTCGATGATTGAAAGACAGCATCAATTAAGGAAGTAATGGATGTTTCTGTTTAGTTCAGTGCTTATGCATGTATATCCCATGAAAATGAAAATTACATCTTATTTTCAGTAACATGATCGTATATATGCATCAACCCAAAACTAATACTATCTACTAGATAAGAAAGAAAAACTGGAAGAGAATATGGTTCCTATAGTGTATGGCGAATTGTATTTATCAAGCATAGTAATGTAACTAAATTTTAACTATGCATTATGATTTTAGTTTGAGATTTGACTTGGATCCAAGATGATATCCATATATAGATACACTGATATATATATACCGTTTATGGAGACTATGACATGCTTTTAATATTCGTACACATTTGTCTTGCTCTATTGATTTAGTAAATCAAAATCAACAATTCTATAACACCATTGATCTTGACATCAGTATGACAAATGGCAAAAACAAAATCGAAGGAAATACATTTATTTCATTATGATAACATATAATAAAACGTTGATTATATTCTTCATGTAGTCTCAGTTAAGAAGTCATGAGCTGGTGTGGATAACTACTAATCAAAATCAAACAAACAAAAGCTCGAGACATTAAAGGAATGTAATTTTCTTATGAAACACAAAGGAATGTATAAACGGTGAGATTTATAGCTCTTTTAAATATAATGATTGAGTTTTGATATTAGTCAGAGAAAAATTGAGAATGAGGGAACAAAGAGAGTTAGTTCATGAAACAAAGTATCTGCAAGTTGAGAAGAGACCAGTACTTGGGAACCAACTATAATAAAGATGGCGGGCGGCTTTCAATGACCGGACACGCCTTCTCCGTGCCAAAGATTTACTTCTTCATCCATCCACATGCACATATACATTCATCTTTTCACATCCACATATACTTTCTTTTAAAAAAGTAAAATTATCTATTTTGCGGAGTTTGATCTTTTCATTTAATATGTCGACCGTGGATTCTAGATGGTCTGGTTTTCTGGTTTAATACTAAAATAAATTAATATTATAAGATCAGGATTCGTGTAGTCAGAGCCGGCCTGTGGGCCAAGCAAAGGAAGCAATGACTTCCGATCATTTATAATAACAATATTTCCGGTCACACTTTTTCAAAACTCTCCTTTAGTCTAGTGGTGAAATGTAGAAACTATTAACTTTCTTATATCAACCCAGGTTCGAAACCACACATAATTGACCAATTTTTTATAAATTGAAGGTAATTTTTAGTTAAAATCATCAATATTAAGAAAATGGTTATTTGTTAAAAAAGTATCATTTAATATATAAGTTTAACCAATTATAAAAACCTACATAATTTAATTGGTCACACAATTTCAATAAATATAAAATTTGCATTTAAATGTTAA